GCCAATATGAAAGAGATTGCAGGATTATTGCCTCATCACTTAAAAGGGCTTAAAACAGACCGTTACATTCATCTCCAATAACATTAATATAATAATAAACTGTTCCCGTGCGGCTTCATCCGCATGAAATTATGAAAATTTTATTTTATTGTTTACATTCGTCAAATTACCATTTACAAATGTCAAAATGATATGACATTATGACAAACAATGGCAACCTTGTTTCCTTGATGTTGGCATCTTATAGTTTATGGTCCCTTTCCCATAAGGAGATTTTCTCCAATTTATTTATCTGCTAAGTTTGATAACTTGAAAACATGCAGCCTAAAGCGTGTCCCTACGCCAAAAAGTAGGGTGTGTTTATGTTTTAACTACATTAGTATACATAAATCTAATTAATGCATTGTATTTATCTAAAATACCTCAGTCTGACCTTTATCTTGATCTAGAACATTGAAATTAAAATTTCAGAGCAGTGGCAAGGTCAGACGCCAGACAAAGGCAGAGTCTCTAATAGTCATTAATTCAGTTGGACATTTTAGGTCCGAGTTAAAAATACGTGGTTTAATTTCTATCTAAAAGTAATTTTCACTCACCAGGACCCTCAATCATAAATCGCGGACGGTTAAAATTAAATTGGACTACATAAAATTGATTGGTAGATGTCAACTCAGATGATCTTTTTTTTGTTAACTTTTATTTTTTATTCTATAACAATGCGCCTCTACATACATGCACGATTTTTTCATCGGTTTTTTATTTTTTCGACGCGAAAGAGATTGGCAATGTCCTTCTTGATTGTCTTATATCTGGTTGTTGAAGTTTTTATTAGTGTTAAGTTCAAAGAAGTAAAAATGAAGTTACGTAGTTCGGAAACGAATTTAAAGAATTTATCGAACCAAAAAGACTAACGAATAATTAGCATATTTAACATAGCTGGGAATCTGGACATTAGACCGACTTTTATCGTCTCTATTACTGTAACGTCAAAAAAGGCGAGAGGAGTGTGCCAGGTTTGCGTCAAGTGGAAGTTCCTAATCTCTGGCCACCCTTCTGGGTATCTTATTTTTTTTAAACTCGTGTAGTAAAACCATCAGAGAGGTATTAAATGAAGTAAATGATAAAATAATCGAAAATCGTTTCATGCATAACAAAGTTTCACGCTCGTATTATACGCCGACGCAGCGGAAATAATGCAGTTATTATCTTTGTTAAATGGCAATATTACGCTATGCACGTGGTACACTGATTGGTATTGTTTGTTTCGGTATCACCAATATTCATTGAATGCATTTTGTATAGAAATCGTAATGTAACTGATTAGCATAATATACCTGTATTGGTTGTTTTGATTGTATCAATATAAAATGATAAATTAATATTCATCTGGATTTAAATGCTAACCGACGAATGAATTTCAAATATTTGTGTATCATTAAAGAGACAGTTTTGGTTTATCAATTTGTATATAATGAAAGTTAAAGTGATGCCGAAGCTTCAAGCAATCGGCGAGCAGTCGATATTTTTAGCGGTGAAAATGCTGCCGGCTGCACACCTACGGCTGAAACAATCCTTGTACTTCGACACACACGTGCCTTATTACAAAGTATCAGGAAGAATGTAATCAAAACTACCTTGAATGCAAACGAGTTAACAGGCGGAATCAACTTCTATTGGTGTTGTTAGTGTCAATGGAATGATGGCTGGTGTTTTTATCATATTGTCCCCAGGGCTGTTTGTTTCCTATTGGATAATACCAGTATGCAACTGCATGTAATCAATTCTACTAAATAATATCCGCGTCCCCCCTTTTATAGTAGTGTTACGATTGTTAAACGCAACCTGCATTTACACTTCCGTGATAACATTTTCATTGTATTGAAAACAATGAATAAAAGAAATCATTTTCTTCTCTTAGCTCTGCACTGATATAAGCTAGTTGTGGTGTACAAAATTCCTTAAAATTTAATTTATCCTAATCCAATTTTATAGGATAAATCGGTATGCATAATTATTATAATTATAATTTAATCGGATTTGGAAAAAATAAATCTCTTCAGGAGTTACATTTAAAATGTCTTAGCTGTCTGGTTCAACTTTGCCGCTTTAACAATTTTTTTGTTGATATCCCCGCAATATTATTTTTTCAGCGTATTGATTCGTAGTTTAAACATTCATGTAGAGAGAGGCTACGAGCGATTGTGACATATTGAATGTCGTCCAATGCTCTTTAGATAGAATGGATTGTAATGTATGGCTTCTTAACATATTAAATCAATTTTTCAACTTCATATTCATTGTCATCGTTGACCTTGAAATGATCGTTTACTACTTTTGATACCACAATTAATGTCATGTCCAAATACATTATTAAAATCACACTTTGAAAACAATAATTAATGGTTTGTATCGAACGATATGTTCTGAAGCCGATAAAGTTTGTCGTTTGACACCTCCTACAAAGAAATATTTCAGTCCTGTCTTCTGTCTAATATGAATAAAATCAATGTATGTACTCGTATGTTTGACCTATATGAGTTCCTTAACCACCGTACAGATTTTAAAGAAGTTATGGTATTATGCGGAATGCGTTAATCTCAAATATGTTTTGTTTTAGTAAAAAAAAAATTCTCACCCTGATTGTCATTATTAATACTTATCATTATTTGACGTTATAATAACTGCGTTAAATAATGATAATAATAAAAGAATCTGTCTAAGTTAGGCAGATTGTTGTTCTGATTGTATAAACACCGAGATATTTTTGCATTTCCGTAGGATTATTACCTTTGTTACGACATCGCATCAAAGAACGCGTCTCTGTCAACAATACCAACAAAACCGCCTTTAGTCACGATCGCCTCTAATATGGTGGTCACTAATTGTATTGTAAACACTATTGATTGAAGATAATAGTTCGCCTTACTTAGCTAATGATGTTTACTTTCACAGACCCTATGTGTATATGTAAATGTATTTATTTTACTATATTCAGATAAGCCAGTCGCTTTCTTAGGATGCAGTTCACGGTGATTCCATGATTTAATAGCGTAGATTCAGAATCGTTATATATTCAAATTTTTACTAGATTTTTAGATCTCAGGTAGTTGAACTCATAACTGATGCAACTAATCTGAATACGAACATCTGTACCTATATGATGATGTTTTAATTTTCTTGTATATTTATGATTTTATTTGGTTCGTTTTGATACCGTTGTCCGCCTCATCGTTGGTTATTAAAGTACGCCATGCAAGGAGACTAAAAGCTTTATTGGATATCTGTCGAAATTCCAATCAAATAGCTCCGACCTGTCGGTTGTTCGATGTTCCCGATTGGTACACCGATTATGCACGAGAGACGAGTGAGTAGTGACATAAATTGTCTTTTAATTACTCTCTGATCGTTCACTCTGCTCTCATAGCGATGATTGTCGCTTTAAGGAATCGATTGGATTTATATAGATAAGAAATATATAAACCTAGTTGGAAACTAAGTTAAATTTAACTATGCTTAGTGTCACCTTGATTATAAATTCGTTTTGTTTTCAAACTTACTTACGACTCCGCTTTTTCTCTTTCTTAAATTCTTACAAGGTTAAAATTACATTCAATGTTATTTTAAGTGCTGTATGATCAATCTGTTAATTTATATTTTCTATAGGTCGGCGAAATTTATAACTTAGTTTTTTTTTTAAATGATTGTAACTTAGTAAATTTGATACAGTATTTCAAATTGATATCGTTATTATAGTGACAACAATTTCGCATACTATACATGTTAACTTCCTCGTATCCACTCAGACTTTACAATACGTCCCTATACGAGGATCATTTTTCGGGTAAAAAATTGTTTTCAATGCTATTTTAAGTTACTTTTTTGTCCCAGTTTCATAAACCGCAGTGAAGCGACAACTTTCATTCGTATGCTTTTGAAAGTTCGTGGGATATTCGGTATTTCACTAGGTAAACAAAGTTTAACTGCAGAACTTTTATTATAAAACTGTACATTACAGAAAGTAAAAGATTAATTACAAAAATTTTATTAGGACAAAAGTATTTTTTAAACTGAGATGTAAACAAATCAAATGTCCTTAATAGGCGTTGTGGGATTATGCTTTAAAACCTTCCGATGAGTACGGACTTCATAATTCATAATAGACTTTTTTATTCATACTATTATTATAAATGCGAAAGTTTAGAAGATTAAATGTATGGGTGTTTGTTAGTTTGTAGCCTAAACGACTCAACAGATTTGGATGAAATTTGGCACAAATGTAGAACATAGTACCCATGGGCTACTTACTTTTGTTTTCATATTCCACGCGGACAGAGTTCTGGGCATAAGCTAGTGTTACTTATTATATTTTATTAATGATATCGCCTCACTTCGCTTAGTGCACACATAGAGTACTTCAAGATAAACTCGTAGTTACATCATTTAATCGATTATGGAAGTTAATGAGTGAAATATTGTTTAACAAGCGTTGCGGTGCTCCAAGCGTTAAATACTGACGTCGACGTTGTTTTAATCTAAGGTGCAAGTAAATTATTTTCTCGTTCGTTAAATTAATGTTGAATATTTTAATGTTTTGCTTTAATATCATACTTCATACTTATGTTATAAATGCGAAAGTTTAGATGGATGCATAAATGAATGTTTGTTAGAGTTGAATTTAGTATAGATGTAGAGGATAGTCTGGAAGAACACATAGGCCACTCACTTTTGTTTTTTTATAATTCTACGCGGACAGAATCGCGGGTGAAAGCTAGTTAAATGTAAACGATACTTCTAGATCGTTTTTGCAGATATAGAACTTTAGTCTAAAACTGAAGGTAACTAAGAACTTTAGTCTAAAGCCCACGTTATAATTACAATAGCAAAGATTTTTACTGTTAAAATCTTCGAAACAAACTGACCGTGGGTTATATACACAAAAATATATTGTAACCTCTACAAGTTTTGTTGAAGTGTTTAATACTACTTTTGTAACATACAAAATGGAACAGTTCTCAAATGGTATCTGTATTTCTTTGTCCACTCTGGGCGTTGGCATTATCTTCTGTCGTCCAACTTCGTGACTACGCCACGTGTAGATATGAAGTGCAAGCTTGCACGCGTCGCGTGAACATTCTCGCTCAATAAATATACATTACTATGGCAAAACGTTTACAATGAACCCGTTTTTCTGTTACATTACTACACGAACGCTACGGAAATAGAAATGAGATATAATCTTAGTCACAATAAAAATTGCAGTGTCGATTTCATGTTTACGCTCTATTTCACTAGAAGGTTGGTTATAGTTACGCTGATAATGTGAATACATTGTGCGTTAAATCCACGGACGGAACGAGGTTTAGGCTGAGCGCCATCCGCGTTCGTCCACCTCAAGCCCGGTGGAGCTGTAAATGCCTCTTGAAGGCAAACAGTAACAAATCAGTCACAAAAAAATCCACGGACGGATAATTAAAATTCAAAAACAACACGCAATCTAGAAAATCATTTATTTAAAAAAAAATTGAGTATGGTCTATTACAATGTTCGTTCTATTTTTTATAATTACTGTAATTAAATTATTGTTCAGTAATATTTACGATTTATAAACATGTTGCATTTCCCGCATTGCATTATTAGACAGTACAATAGAATTAATAATAACATTAGTCCTACTTAAGATGTTTTGTTCTTTGCAGGTAGCGGTCTGGTTAACACCGTAAACGACGAACTCAAACCTCCCCGATCCATTTTACCCGAGCCTCACCAGCTGCAAAAAGTAAGTGATTATAGAATTAATTTTTATTTATTTACAGAGAATAGAATTACAAATATTGATCCCTACACGAAGTACAAACCGAGGCTCAACTTTAGTCCGTCCTAACTTATGGCCGCTTGCTCGTTTGCTACCTTATGGTATACTAGCTGTTCCCGTGCGGCTTCATCAGCATGAAATCATAAAAACTTTATTTTATTATTTACATATGGCAAGTTATCAATTGCCAACAATTACTTTTACCATAATAACCTTGCTTCCTTAATGTTCGCTGCTTGTAGTATATGATCCCTTTTCCACATGAATCTTTTTTTTTATTTATTTACCCCCTAAGTTTGATAGCCTAAAGCGTGTCGTAAGTGTAGGACTTTTTATTAAAGAAAAAATTATTCAATAACATGCTGTGATTGCTGAAACCTACGCCCCAAAGTAGTGTGTGTTTACGCTTTATTATATTAGTATAGATAAAAAGGTAACGATTTATGTCTAAACGTTGTATTTCCCAAAATGAAAGCATTTGTTCAAAATAGTTACATACGTTGAGAGATCTCAAAGGATAGTCTATAGGATAGGAGGGATAGTATAACTTTAACCTGGTTAAATAATTTTATTACATGGTTTCCCTTCAATAATTCTATGTGTAAAATGTGAGTTTAGCATATCCCAGGATGTGCAAAAGCATGACAGATGAAGGAATAGTTTAAATATCTTCTTACTTTGGTGTGGTATAGCGTGTAATGGGATCGTAGCACTACAAGTTTTGAATTTTCAGCAGTTTGTCTCGTGAAATTCTGAAATGCGGTGGCACATGATCTGGAAATCGTTAGAAATTGTTTGCTGAACAAATCACTTCCCGTCTCGACGTGTTGCCTAAAGTCTTTTGATATCAACCCTTAGGACGAGCAAGTTAAAACTCTGAAAGTTAAAAGTTAAAAGTTTAAAGTCGCTAAAGTTAAAACTCTGAATAAAATAAATTCTTTACAAACAGACCTGTCGCATATTTTTCCATAAAGTTTCCTTCTAATAAATTTACTATATTCTAGTCTTTGTTTTTATTATTATTAATTGCAGTGGTAATAATAATTACTGTCGAACTTAAATTGTGAATTGGCGAAAAAAAAAATTACAACTACAATATTCCAAACATGTCAAGAGCACGCGCACATCTTGTACTAAGTTATCGCACAATTGTTTTCTCGCGCTCTGATTCCTATGCCTATGTGGAGGTGTGCGCACTAATCGATTTAGTTGTACAACTAAACAGTTGAATGTGCTGCGAAACAATCGATAATCGAAAATCGCACAACAGTCTTGCGATTGTTCAGTCAAGTGTGTGCGCGCGCTCTAAATGTATTGCTTGTAATATTAGCACTTTCTCAATTACTTCATTCAATATAAACCTATTAGAGTTCAATAAAAATAGAAGTACATTCTGATAAACGAGAGCAATATAAGTTAATGGAGTTGCGGAGGAAGTTTGCACAACTTTAGTATTAAAGTTTTGAAATTTCCCCTGGATTTCCTTTAATTAACCAATATACGGCTTATTTACGTTTAACCGAAGTCGCATCAATTTACATATCTGAAGGCCTTTCAGCAACTTAATTGATTTCCTTGTGCATCCTGATGAATAAAGGATGAGGTACTCGGAATACTAGATCTGTCCAGATGTAGGGGTAGATTCAACGAGGTTATTATCTACTCTGGCACATAGATTTTAAATGCGATTATTTTTATACATGATTCATTTTATCCGTTAACTTTATTGTACTAAAACACGACCAACAAAGTCAATACTAGACAATTTGCTAATTTAAAGTAGCTTTTTTTTAGTTATATATCTAAGGTTCACATTGCAATCATCCGTCATCTGTATTTAGACATAGATCGATCCATTTAAGTACTCATCATATACTCGTACGAATATTTTCTTAAATTAATCACGAAAACCCATAAAAGTTTAATAGCAGCTTGTAAATATCATTAAAAACTAGCTGTTCCCGTGCGGCTTCAGCCGCATGAAATTATGAAAAATTTATTTTATTGTTTACATTTGTCAAATTGTCAAAAGCAAATTTGAAAATGACATGACATGACATGACAAACCTCGGCAATCTCGCTTCCTTGATGTTAACAACAACTTATGGTCCCTTTCCTACATTAGAGTTTTTATCTAAAATATAATGGCGTGAAAATACATATATAGCCTAAAGTGTGACGTAAGTGTAGGGATTTTTATTAAAAAAAGAATTATTAAAAAACATGCTGTAATTGCTAACATCTTAGGCAACAAAGAAGTGTGTGTTTACGCTTTATTATATTAGTATAGATATAAATTACGCTTACATGCATTTCTTATCACAATTAACAGAAAATTACTTAACTCTTGGTTAAAACTTATCTTGTGGCATTTAATGAATTAAATGGACACGTATGCGTTTATTCGTTACGTTGAGCTCCGTCTTTTAGCCTTAACTTGATTTTGAGCCTAGATTGATGCGAACAATTCTATGAGGAAAGTTCCGATTGTTGAAAACAAAAAAGTGGTGGCTGAAATTCTTTCAGTAAATTAGATCAGGCAATTTTCTTTGCGAATATGTATGGATGTCCACTCTAACGCGATTGTTTGTTAACGGCTCGATCGATTTTAGCGAGTGACTCAGTTGGTTTTATTGATTTTTTAATCATCCAACTACTAGTCTGCTAAATACTAGTTAGTTAAGCCGAATAGAAAAAATGTTAGCAAGTCCGCAACTCCAATATGACCGTTAAAAATATTCCTGAACGGATTACAACATTTTAGAATAGTAAAATCTAAAATAGAATATTAGAATTATTTTTATCGTGTCTTAAAAAGTGTTTTGTTCGTTGGTATCCATAATTAAATAATCAAAACGGCGTTATTAACAAAAATTTATTTTATCGTATCTAATACGTTAGTGAAGGATGCAATTATTAATCTAATTAACGTAATTCTTACCACAAATACGATGTCTATTTCTAACTTTTGCTTGCGGTTCACGTCGTGGTTAAAGTTTTCCTGCACTACTACGTTCCTTATTCGAATTCAAAGTCCTTGCTATATAAGTTCTGGAGTTAATCAAATTATCAATCCGACATTAGTTTATTTAGATCTTCTAAACAGATATCAAGTGTTGCATTCGTACATAATGTAAAAGCTAACTTCACACTAAAGAAAATTGATTTAGCTTATAATATTTTTTTTTATTTAAAGGTAAAAGAAGAACAATGCCCGATCATGAAAGAAAACGTCGCCGACATAGATACTGTTTCTATCTTCCCATCATTCGAGTTCCAGGTAAGTTGCGAATAAAATTTGTAATTCGAAAGTTGTCACGACGCGGGAAGTCATATGCATAAGGCGAAGGAGCGCATTCTGTGGAAGGAATTGGTTAAAGCCTATGCCCAACAGTAGGCAGACAAAGGATGATGACGGTGATGAATGTTATCACTTATTAACACTTTGTACTAAAGAATCATGCTTACGGTACAGAGGTCGGCTATCTGAATACTTGGCACAAGGCTTTTTGAGGATTTTCATGATATAGTATGTATGTATTGTAACAGTGAGGTGGCTAACTGTACATTAATGAGAGATTTACCTAAATCTACCTATAATTATCGATGGACAAAGCTCAGAGTTAGGGAGCCGGCATTTATGGTATCAATCCTCGTGTTGTTTCCTGATAAAAACTATATTTTATGAAACTTCACATGTATTAGGGATGCCTAACCGTATCCTAGTTTATTATCGATGTTCAGTCTGCTTAACTAAGTCACTAGGTAACTTTAAAGGAATAAAATAATTATACATGTTTAGTATTTATAATTGCTTAAAAACAAACGTTACGAGTAGTGCTCAAAACTATGGCGTCGTCAACTTTATAGCATTACGAGCTTAAATATTTATTTACAGAACTAACTGTAAAATAAATTTGAATACATCTAATAAGCAGAAGTCAAATAACTTATTTCAGCAGTGATAAATAAAACAAAAAACGTATTAAAAGAAACCAATTCTTTCTCCCAACGAAGGCGCGCGCTCATTTTAATTAAATTATGCATCGCTTTTGGGAAATATGCAACGTAAACTGGATTGAAAGAATAGATGTGTTTCTCTTTTTGTATTTCGTAAATGTTGCACACGTCGTTCCATTGTTTATTTTCAAAGTAATTAAAAAATAAGTTGTTAATAAAATCTAACCTTAAAATTCCACTGATTAAATAGTTGTTTAAGATATTTTACAATCTCTGTTGTTTTAAAGAGAATGCATTGGAAGTCTTTATGTCGGTATTGAAATATTTCTATATTGGTAACACGGCGAGTATATTTCGGAGTGTACACTTTTCCAAACGAGGTGGCACAAACGTCAATCGCAATAAAGTCATGTCAGTCACAGTATTAATTTTTCCGAAACGCTTTGTATCGTAAATCCCTTTGTTCCCCAAAAATTCGGACAAAGAACCACCGGTCACCTGCACTCTGGATACACTCGTACGATACTAAAAGTTATTAAAATTGCAGGTTTAAAAAGGAGAGTACAAACTGAACGCGAGATTGAAAATAAATCCCTCGTTTTCGTAAAAAATGTTTTTTTTTAAACATGTCACTGCTATGATGAATATTTTGATATGTATCAAAATTATTTTTTCTTTATTTCCTTGTGTTACACAATATTTCTTAGTTGTAGGTTCAAAATCCCGAAGCCCTTTATATCTCACTAGATTTCGCCGGCGACAAAAAAACAAATGCAAGAAGACTTTGTGTAGGCATAGATGTACGGGATTGTTTGGAAGGCCAAACAATCCCGTACATCTATGCCAAATTTCATCGAAATCTGTTCGGCAGTTTAGGCTACAAACTCTAACAAACATCCAAGTAAACTTTCGCATTTATAATATTAGTAAGAATGTATTGTTAAATTTTTTACAGGTTTTGTTTTTCGTTATTATATTTCTATATAATAACAAAAAAAACCGTTTTCAAAATTTAAATTACAACTAGAATCACTACGATTAACTGAGACGTGTATACAACTTCTATGAATAACGTCATCGGTTGAAGTATTAATTGAAAATTTACGAATAAGTTATAATTTTCTGTACATTTTTATATTGAAATGTTTATTTTATTTGTTATTCTAAATTCTAATCGAGTATCCGTTCCATTTAACAAGATACTTCGGTACGTCAAAGAGTTGAATAAACATATTATTTCTTTCATGCAAATTGCATAACATACCTCTTATTGAAAGTCTACGTTACTCAGTATGTGTTTTAAATTACAGTCTACAAAGTAAATCCTAGGTACCTCATTAGGAACTAAAGAGGTATATTTGTGTACGTCAGGAATGCAATTTATTCAAGTGAGAGCTATGACTTTGGTAAATTCAAGTTAATAATAATAAAGAACATATAAAATTAAATCCTTTTTTATATGTTAATAGCAAGTATTGTAATATGAAATCATACTAATATTATAAATGCGATAGTTTAGATGGATGGATGTTACATTTGAACATAAACGGCTGAACGGATCTCGGTGAATATTGGCATAGATGTACATGATAGTCTGGAAGAACACAGGTAATTTTAATTCCACGCGGACGGAGTCAGGCACAAAAGTTAGTTTTATCTAAAGTTATAATTACTTCCTCAAGATTTTCTTTCAACTAAATAAAAAGGACAACTTTAAAATGCTTTGAAAACTACGTACAAGAGATCGCGTTCAAAAGTCAAAGATTTTCAAATGTTTGATCTCTTCGACCAGGCAAAAGGAATGAAGTTTTAGTTTTCTTATCCTTATTTACAGTTCAGCGAGGGACGGTCTTTTAAGCGCAACTTTAAATAACTTTTATTTTTAATTTAAGTTAGCGTTTGACTGCGAAACCTCCGTGTGAGAGGTGATACTGTAAAAAGATATTGCATATTGACAACGTTTATTCATTTTATAAAACGTCGAGAATATCTTGTAAAGAGGAAAGATTTGTATTTTGTATATATTGTAATAACTCAAAAACTACTAGACATATAACAAAAATTATTTTACCAATAAATAGCGACATAGAGTAACATAGACTATATTTTTTTTTCTTACGCGCGGTATATATCTTACAAAGACATTCAAATATCAATTATATACCGGACAATTGGAACACCAATTACATGCAGCAATACACGACAGTAGTGCAAACGTCAGTAGCAAATGCTAATTCACACGTGTGTTCTAGTAGGCTTGGTACCTATAGTGGTAACAAACTATGGTTTACTTTGCGTTGTCCTGTCTAATGACATGTGTCAATTGATTCGATTACATATTGTGTTGAAAGTCTTTGTCTTATCGATAGTGCGTAATCGAATATTCCTCGCGCTAGGGTCAAGGCTTGTTAGTAGTTTTTCGTTATAACCTCTCTTTTATTCATGTTTTCATCAACCTTCAAACTGAAGCGTACACTTAAGCTTATGTAAGTAAACTTAAGTATTAAGCATAAATATTAATTGAAGATTTGTTATAAAATTGAATTAAGTGTATTAAGAAAACTGTTACTTTTAAATTTCCATCATACTTCATACTATTGTTATAAATGCGAAAGTTTAGATGAATAGATGTTTGTTAGAGTTTTTATCCTAAACGGCTGAACGGATTTTGATGAAATTTGGTATCGATGTAGAAGTCTAGAAGAACATTTAGGCTACTTATTTTGTTTTTTTTTTTAGTTTTACGCGGACGGAGTCGCGAGCGAAAGGTAGTTTTACTATAAACTTTGTGTTAACAATGAGATAACATTTTATTTTCTTTTAAAAACCAATGTTTTTGCATAGTAACTGTATGTATGATAAAAGTACAAGACCCATTGATTGCATCGATAATTTAGAAAGTACTAGATTTAAACAACGCTCGCTAATGTTCTAACTCGTTACTTATTCACGATAAACACAAACACTACACTATCACAAAGTGTTATTAGTGTATGAATCATGTACGAGTTTTTTTTTTCAAGATATTATCTATAGTGTGTAGTTTAGAAATGATTTTTAAAATGTTTTATTTCGATGAAATTTATCAAATCTCTTTTCCCTGCAACTATCGATTAATTATCGAGTCACAGTCGTATATTTCATCCGTTCAAATAATGTAAAATTATATTTTTGTTGTATAATTTTCTAATATCAAGTATAATAATTCGTTTCAAGATAATCTAGCGTAACATTTCGGATAGTTAATGAGATTGCTATTTAGATTAAAACGTTTGATCAGAGTAATCCGATTACCTGTAGATTGCATTCAATATTATGTGTTTACTGTTGCTTTTGAATGCATTGACTTCATACTAATATATTAATATCCATCTAGCTTAAACACCATTTCAGTTTATACGCATTATGAATTCAATAAGGGACTTACAACGTGCAAGACACTACTAACATTATATATAAACAAAGTAACTATGCAAATTTGTACACTATAATATGAAAGTTTTCATATATCTTTAACTAACCTAAACGTTTCAATACTGTGAATAAACTAAGATTATCCTTGATTTATAAATTACTAGCTGTTCCCGTGCGACTTCAACTGCATAAAATTATGAAAATTTTCATGTTTACATGTGTCAAATTATCAATTGCAAATGTCAAAATGACATGACGATGACAAACCATAGCAACCTTGTTTCTTTGATGTTAGCAGCAACTTATGGTCTCTTTCCACATTAGGGTTTTTATCCTAAATATTTACCCTCTAAGTTTAATGGCGTGAAAATATATAGCCTAAAGCGTGACGTAAGTAAAGGGCGTTTTATTAAAAAAGGATTATTAAAAAATATGCTGTAATTACTGACATCTTAGGCAACAAAGAAGTGTGTGTTTACGCTTTATTATAATAGTATAGATAATGTTCCTCCGTCATAGTTTATTATCTAGAACTTGATGTTCTCACAAATGATAATAAATTTCTATCCTTTTAAAAAAACCTTGTTTTCTGTGTAAATAGATATTTGTTTCTGTAGCTCTATATATCTGTAATTCCTTTATGAAATAACCATCGCTAAGCTTTATGCATTTGAGGATTGCATAGTACGAAGTACACGTTTGTGGGCCTAAAAATGGGCACGTATTTTTGTACGTAGACTTTGATAGGATATTCTCCTTTCATTTGCAAATTCTGTTGAATAATGCATTCGATGTTCGTAAATTGCATATTTAACTATGGAGAACAGTTACCAATTCCCGGCTGTTTTCTATTTTTAAAAGCTCGCCTATTATTTGCTAGATTAAAAATTAATGATACATTTACAGCTGTTGTATTTACAATTAATTGCAGATAAAACTTTTTATTGTGGTTTTACAAGGCATCATTATTTAAAACCCAACAAGTCCTAGAATTTCAAATGTGTTATGAGGTGCAATTGTTGCATACTAACAACATGAAAACTTATACAAAATTCTATTTAGTTAAGTCGTTATTAATTATAATAATTAATGAATTCAGATTACATTATTTGTTACTACAGTAGAACCTCGATAACTCAAACCTCGGTAACTTATGAACCTCTATAACTTCAAAAAATAATATGTTCGGGAAGGGAATCAGAGCCCAAAACCTCTACAACATAGACCCTTGATAACTTAAACCTCTATAAGTTAAAATTTTTTGTGTTTCCTTTGGACTTTATCGAGGTTCTACTGTATAATAACTTTCATTTGCAACTAGCTGTTGCTCGGGACTTCGTCAGCTTGGAATAAAAAAATGCCTTCCATTAAAAGCTCCGACAAAATCAGTTAAGCCGTTTCGGAGATAGACCAAAAGCCGTGCCGGTAGGCAATAAGGCAGTTTTTTAATATTTATTTTTTATTATGAGTACCTACGTCGCAAATGTTTTGTACTTCTGCAATATTATATTATTATAATAGTTACATACAGATACTCTTTTATTAAATGTATAATTAAACATTTAACATTTAGGTGGGGTTTTACCAATCGCAGCATTACAAAGCATGTCGCTTTCGGCTAATGTTCATGTATATGTAAAAAAAAAAAATATCCAATGATAGAGGTCATTTTGTTATGATGTAAAAAGTAGAGCTTGTGCACGATCGCACCTGATGTTAAGTGGTCATAGGATGGTAGGCATAGTTGTTGTTAATTGAATTTTCATAAAATTTTAATAATGCACTTTACGTTGATGCTGTGGTGATTCGCTGGTCGAAAGTTCCGATTTAATTTCATATAACCCCACTCCGCAAAGTTTCATCCACTTTGCCGTCAATATTAAAATGGACATTTCTATTTTCAGTGTCGGTTTCATACGTGCCATATACTTGTCCATACAGTATGTGTATATATAGAGTATCATTATACTGATGACAGTTAATAAATGTGTCGTCTAGTAAAATATGTATGCGGGTGCAATTTCATTGTTAGTCTATTTCGTCATTTTGTTATAATGTTTATTTAATCAAGCTTTTTTCGTGGGTTATTCAGTCATAGTTTTAAACTTTATAGTATTGGTGATTATTTTTTAAAACATTTTTTTACAATTGAAATGTATACATCTCTATTAATTATTGAAAAGTTTGAGGAGAAAAACGTTCGTCTACAAACATCGTTTTTAAATCATGTTTGATATAACTTATAATGACAAGAGTAAACTACGCTATGGAGGAACCTTGAATCGGACTCTAGCCTTAAAGCAAACAGTCGTTGAATACGCAAATATTTGTCCCGACTGGGAATCGATCTTGGGGATCTATGACTTATAGAGAAATAATTTCATCTGTACTATATTTTCATAGCGGTTCCCAATGCTAAGAATATTAGTCCCTACTATTTACAAACTTTTCACTTGGAATATTAATAATTGAATAAGTATAGTCAATAGATATTAAATTACCACAAAAATGTATGGATAGAACTGAATTACTTTAAGAATTATTTATTGAATTAAAGTTCAGCGACACTTGTATCTATACATATTGTGTCCCGTTTTTTCTAAAGGGATTGTAAGGGATGACATGAACATTGTAGAAGTGGAGTTCTGTGGTAACATTTTACTAAGAAGTGAAGTTTTATTTAAGTCGCGATTAACTGAATTGTGCCGTAGTTGGTTAAACTAACTCCGTCTGTTTGTGTGCGATTACCTTTGTAACACTCCTCTGCGTTCGACCGTAAACTAATAAAACACTGTAAGCCAAGCTTTACTCGGACGTCGTGGATTGCGTTTATTTTCTTATATCTGTCTTGTATTACAATGTAACCTTAGACAATGGATAAACGGACTCGTATCTACAATGTCTCTTTTATTCAACAGTAAATTATCTGAATGATGGCTTTTGCGCTATAAACTTAATTTAAGATCGATTAAAAACTATAATCAAATAACTCCTTCCTGGTAATAGGCCTTTCGATAGATTAAATACGTTAAAAAGTCAAATAATATTAATGTAATCAAAAGCCAAGTAGCTGGCGGGCGGCCGTAATTATAAAAACAAAACAGTAAGGTTTTTTAAAAACCTTACGCGGCAACCACGCATGAGTGGGATAAGACTATGGAGATGATGAGTCAGCCGTCGCTTTATTAAACTGTAGATTTCTGATATCTGATTCTAGTCCTCGTAATTCGTAAGCTTGTATCAACAACGTTTCCCACGTTGCACAGAGATTAATGAATTCCTCGTCACATGCGATACAAGCTCAGAGACAAACAGAATGTAAATATCATTTGTATTTCTCTCTCGCCATTTATGTATTTAAATCTAACTTTTGCCCGCGGCGCTGTCCGCGGGAAATTAAAAAAAAAACAAAATTACTACATTATACGTCTATGCATAATTTTATCCTGATACGATCAACCGTTTAGGCTACAAATTAACAAACATCCATCCATCCATCTAAACTTCTGCATTTATAATATTAGCATGATAGTATGATGATAAGTGTGATGTTTTAATTCTTTTTATTTTAATAGCCGAGCTGGCTCCGAACAAAGGAGTTTTGGGACAAATCTTTTGAAGAGCGCTACGAAAAGATTCGCAACGACAGTCGCCGTCCTGGATTAAAGGTAATATTTAAATGTATTTATTTCTTTAAAAACTCTTCAATGTCATTCAATTGCGAACGAAACCTTACCGCTCGTAGACGTTCCTTGAAATCCAAAGCGGGCGATAGTAAGAGGCACTACAATGTACGATACTGCAGATCCAACAATAGTCTGAAAATAAAATTGTATTCAATGCAAAAGATGTTGTAGATCTTCAAATAATCTGGTATATAATTCTCCGGATATAAAAAATTAAATTTGATATCACATCGACTGTATTAAAAATATTCGCAAACTAAAATTGCTTTTTTACTGTTTTATATTTTAACTATATTTAACATGCAAGGGTACTTATTTTAATAAACAATTAGCGGCGGAAGAAATTTCTCTTTTGAACATAGTTCAATTTCTATGCATAATTTTCGACAACGTTTACTATGACAGAGTTCCAAATACTATTGAAACCATCTTGTTGGTTTGCATTCCATTATGGTGCGGTTGGGTGGCGTTTGTAAATATTTATTGATATTGATAGGCGTCGGATCTCTAAAATTCGGCAACCTATCCTTAAAAACTTTCTTTTTTCCTTCATCATATGCTGAAAATAATTATTTGCCGACGTGTATAAATGCTTCAATCGTTTGCATAGAATTATCGCAATGAAAACGGCATTAAACTTAATATAGAGAGACTGCTAATATGATATCGGAGCCTCTCCGCGATCGGAAATCGAATACAAACGGCATAAACTTTGTCTTACTACTTTTATCATAAAATGTCACTCATTTCCTGGTTATTACAAACTTAAACAACCCCATCCATGTTTCCGAGAAGATGAATTAATAAATTATAATTATTGTGATAATCTTATTATTATTCATTAAACAAAATATCAAGATGAATTGAATGTTAATACTAAGTAATATAAATAGAAAAGAACTCATTTTTACATAACAACTAGCTGTTCTCCGCGACTTTGACCACACAATATGAAGATAGAAAAGTAGCCTATGATATGCCCGTCTATGTCAGCTGACATAGACACAGGAATTTTACTGAAGGGTAGCTACCCTTCAGTAAAATTCCGGTCATAATCGGCCCAGCCGTTTGCCCGTAACAAACGAGGCTTGCGGACAGACAGACAGACAAAACATTTTAAATGCGATTTTCGTTTTCAGCAACGCAAGTACATCATCTTCCCGAAATCTGGAGTGTTTCTTTTGATATTACAAATAAACACTCCAATTTTATTATATGTATAGAAGATAGATAGATAATTACGAGTACTAATTGACTTCGTGAACTATCGCAATTTTGTCGGATTATCTTTAATACGATTATGTATTAATTGGCGCAAATTTTTCGCAGATTAATCTGTTGCCGGCCGTTTATTTATTCAGTAAGATATGAGTAGTTTATAAAACCGTTTTCTTTTTTATTAACAAAGAATATATGTGGATATTGTATTCATCACTCCCAATGAGTTAAATTTTTTACAATGTACTTGAGATGTGTAACATTCTTTATCTGTTCATTATAATTAAAAGATAGATAACAAAATTCTACATTAATGTGGCTTTAGCTACAAGTTTAAGACTTCTTATATTATATTTAAGACTATATTCGAGTATGTTTTTAATTTTTTCATCGATATCCCCGGTTTCCCCTCGATATTTCGAGCCACTTCCAATGCACAATGCAACATGTTTTCTATTTCCAATTAATTGGTTCACAATTATGAACATCACAGCAATTTGTTTATTCGATTGTAAAAATCTCACAATTACGTAGCGATAGTTACCGTAACGTATCTACGAGTATACTAATGTTATAAAGAATTGTATTTTTGTTTTAATTGAAATAACTCAAAAATTACTGGGCCGGTTTCAAAAATTCTTTTCATTAGAAAGGTAATTTTTCTGTGAGTATCATGGGCTGTCTTTTATTATTATTATAATTTCATGTCGATGAAGTCGCGAGCAACAGCTAGTAAATGATATGTTTAATTTACAAATGAATTACAATAATTTGCATCAACGTCAGTTAACGCAATATAAATAATTTTGAGTCAATTAACATACTGGAAACGTTTACAAATGTTATAGCTTCATTACAAAATAATCATATACTATTCCCGGAATGTACGTATATTTTCCATTCCCGAACAGCACTGAAATCAGTCAGCTAATATCAATGATTCATTTAGAGTGATGAAATTTTAATGTCCAATTATGTACGTGTTTACATAATTATAATTATTCTATTTTATGATCTGGATTTCAAATGTTGATCAGTGCGCGATCTAATTAGGTTGCAACGGTAAAACATAAATGTACATATAATACGCAATCAGACGCTAAAAAGGATAGACACAAGTCTATGATTGATGAGATTGACAGATATGAGATGTCCCCACTGGGACAACACAGTTATAAACAGCAAAGAGGATGATTGAGACGTGTGTATATTTTTATCTCTTTCCCCATTCATTGTTCGACATGTTTAACGTCGCTAATTCAGAGCAAGAGCTAAGTATATAACTATACAAAGGCTAAGCTAAGCCAAGTTATTTTATTTTATACTAGCTTTCGCTTACGATTTCTTCAGCTTGTAATTACAAGCAACAATTAAAAAAAACACAATTGAATCGCTGTTTGTTCTCCCAGACGAGGATAGTCTGTTACGTCTACACCAAATTTCATCAAGATCCGTTTAGCAGTTTAGGTTACAAAATCGAACATCCATCCATCTAAATTTTCATATTTATAATATTAGTAAGATTTCGCCAATCCACACACTGCATACTGCATGATTTATATTAGCTAACTGTATTTTGTTTTTAAATTGTAAAGCGTAATCTAATAACAAATTAAAAGATAATAAGAAATGTAGTTTTTTGTCTGAAATCGTGATTCTACGTAAATAAAAACAACAAAATACCGCAGGTCATCGTGGTGCCCCACTCACATAACGATCCGGGATGGTTGAAGACATTCGAGCAGTACTTCGAATGGAAGACTAAGAACATCATAAACAACATCGTAATAAAATTGAACCAGCATCCGAACATGACATTCATTTGGACAGAGATTTCGTTTCTTAACGCATGGTGGGAGACTTCACATCCTGTTAAACAAAAGGTATACTTCACAGTTATAACAATAATAATATAGAATTTAGGTAGTTAGTTAAACTAACCTGTTTTCATATAAGTTTTTTATTATTGAAGATCTAATCGCTAATAGACTTGAAAAATTAACCGAGAAATTCCAACATTGTCAAATTGTCTTAAAGCATATTCTTACTGAAATGAATGACAAATATTTTAACAAATGTTTCGACAGTATAATTTTGTAAGTTTTACTGTAGGTACAGTTTTACTTACAAAATGTCGTTATATTTGTTACAGGCACTCAAAAAACTAATAAAGGAAGGACGACTTGAAATAACGACTGGTGGTTGGGTAATGCCGGACGAAGCTTGTACCCATATCTACGCGTTAATCGATCAGTTTATAGAAGGTAATATAAAAATATAATTACATGTGTGATTTTTTGTTAAATAAAAAAAAAACATTATTCTGTTTATAATTAGTTACCTGCATTCTCAAAATTGTCTGAAAATTACATAGACTTAGTTTGCCCTCTGTATTACATCAAAGTTTGCACGCTGTGTTAAACTTTATTTGAATATCATTTTCGGGCTCATCTAACTTTGACTAGTCTGTTACGGGAAAACAACACCCTGTATACTGGACGAGTTCTAATAGTAAAGCTTATTTAGATATTAGAACTTTGTCTACCAATTTAGAACATTGTTTAATTAAATAGTACTCAGAGAAGTTTTTGCCTTAAGATAAGGTTTCTTATGAATCAAATTTAGGGTTTTGTCTACTAATAATAAAATAATTTCAGGTCACCATTGGGTTAAAACGAATCTTGGAGTCACCCCTAAAATCGGCTGGTCAATTGATCCCTTCGGCCATGGACCAACAGTACCATACATTCTAGATCAAAGCGGACTGGAGGGCGCGATCATCCAACGAATCCACTACGCCTGGAAACAGTGGCTTGCTCAACGACAGATTGAAGAGTTCTTCTGGTTGCCCGGATGGAACACTAAGAAGCCATCTTTAATAGTACACAACCAACCTTTTGACATTTACTCTATTAAAAGCACTTGTGGTCCTCATCCGTCTATTTGTCTGAGCTATGATTTTCGTAAAATTCCCGGCGAGTATTCCGAGTACACTGCAAAACACGAAGAGATAACGGAACACAATCTTCACAGCAAGTCTAAAACGTTAATAGAAGAATATGAACGCATTGGATCGCTTACCGCTCACAATGTAGTACTGGTACCTCTCGGCGACGACTTCAGATACGAATTCGACTCTGAGTTCGATGCACAGTACGTTAACTACATGAAAATGTTTAATTACATTAACAGTCACAAAGAACAATTCCATGCAGAAGTTCACTTCGGTACCCCTTTGGACTATTTCAATGCTATGAAGGAAAGGTTGAAAGGTAACATACCAAGTTTAAAGGGCGATTTCTTTGTCTACTCTGACATATTCAGCGAAGGAAAACCCGCGTACTGGTCTGGGTATTACACAACACGTCCCTATCTTAAGATTCTAGCACGCCAATTCGAACATCAACTGAGAACATCCGAAATTATCTTCACGCTCGTCTCCAATTTTATTCGACAGTCAACTGATCATAGACTTGTTTCTGCCGAAAAGCGCCTAGAAAAGTATTATGAACAATTGGTAAACGCAAGGCGGAATTTGGGACTTTTCCAGCATCACGATGCTATCACGGGCACTTCGAAGGCTAACGTGATGAACGATTACGGCACCAAACTATTCACCAGTTTATATCACTGCATTCGTCTGCAAGAATCTGCTCTTACGTCCATTATGTTACCGGATGAAAAATTGCACTCCCAAAACATTTTGCAGAGTGAAGTGGAATGGGAAACGTATGGTGCTCCGGTCCGTAAACTCCAAGTGTCCTTGGTGGACAGAAAGAAAGTAATTCTCTTCAACCCTCTAGCAGAACGACGGACCGAAGTAATCACTCTTAGGTCAAATACAACTGACATTCGTGTTTACGATAGTAGAACAAGACAGCACGTCCAACACCAAATAACACCTATTATTGAAGTTCTCGACAACGGAAAACGTGTGATTAGCAATACTAATTTCGACGTCCAGTTTGTTGCAACTCTTCCCGCTTTGACCACAGTAACTTTCAAACTTGAAGAATACAAGAATGTGTCAAAACACTGTCTCGTTTTTTGCAACAATTGTTTTGACAACAATTCTGAGAAACCATCAAATTTCGTTATAAAGAAAATGATGCCTGGTGATATTCAACTCGAAAATTCAGTTTTAAAATTACTTGTAAACAGAAATAATGGATTGTTGAAGCAAGTTTATAGGAAGGACGCGCGGAAGAAGAACACAGTGGATATACAATTCGGAGCCTACCAAAGCGCGCAGAGACATTCGGGAGCTTATCTGTTCATGCCAGATTACGATGCACCTGAGAGACACGTCCTTAACCAATATGCCAATTGGAACAGCGCACAAGACGACAACATTTTTATAATATCCGGGCCGGTATCCACTAAAATAATAACAATGTATGTGCCGTTTTTGATCCATACAATTACGATATACAACGTGGAAGAACCGGCGATGCTTCACGCCATATCGATCGAAAATGTTGTAGATTTTGAGAACCCACCTAAAAATAGAGAGACTGAACTCTTTATGCGAATCGAAACTAACATCCTGAACGGAGAACCACCGGAGTTCTATACGGATCAGAATGGATTCCAATATCAGAAGAGGGTTAAAGTTGAGAAGGTGGGTATTGAAGGGAATTATTACCCGATCACTACTATGGCTTGGATTCAAGATGATGATACGCGAATCACTCTGATCACTAACCATGCGCAGGGCGCCTCGGCCTTCGAACCCGGCCGTCTTGAAGTAATGCTCGATCGACGAACACTGTACGATGACTTCCGCGGCATTGGTGAAGGCGTGGTCGACAACAAACAAACCACATTCCAAAATTGGCTTCTCATCGAACCTACTAACTTTGATAAAGCTAAAAGAGATATTAACGAGAAATTCCAAAACGTACACGAAAGGTTCTTTAGACCTGAGGAGAAAACGAAAGATTATCAATTGCCATCGCAGAACGCTGATTACTTGAGCCGGTGTCTGAACTACCCCGTGAACGTTTATTTGGTGGATACGAGTGAGGTGGGCGATATAAAAGTGAAGAAGTACCAGTCTTTTGTGCAGACCTTCCCGCCGGGTATCCATCTTGTTACTATGCGTACTATTACCGATGATATTCTCGAACAGTTCCCGAGCTCGTCGTGCTACATGGTACTACAGCGACCTGCCCACAGTTGTAGCGTAGGAATACGTCGCTCGAAACCGACCTCGTTCACACCTAAGACCCGGTTCAACGGACTTCATATCAGGAACTTGACATCAGTCAGCTTAACCGGCCTTAAGACGTATAACACTCTGTTCGGTATAGAAGACGTGAAATTAGAACCGGTAGAGGTTAAAACATATAAGGTCAAGTTTTGAAGACTGTTAAATTAAATCATTAGGAAATAATCATACTATTGCTGTTCTAGAAGTATTTAGTCAGCATTAATGTTAGTAAACGCTTTTCACATATCTCCTAGGTCCAAATTCAATCCGATGCACTCGGGAGATTTGTTCGATGTCTATGTAAAATTAATATTAGGAATAATGTGCATATAATTATGCCTTTCCACTACCGAAACATTTGTGTGAAAACAAATTGCCTTTAAAATAAGATATAGCATAAACAGGAATGCAAAAATCTTGGCTTGGGGGCGGTTCAATCGCTTTCTTTATTACATCTCTTAATTCCATAATATTCCGCACAACGTTTTCGTTTTTATATTCCTATTCAAGCTATAACAATATGTTTTTATGCAGGTGTTTCGGTGGAAATTTCATGTTTAAGCATATTTGTCAAATTTCACTTTTTCCATATTCACGATATGTTTCCGTAATAAGATACATTTTTAATCCTTTAAGAAAATTATTATCAAGAATCCATCTGCATAAATTTAGTGAAAATCTAGAATAAATCTACCTCAGGTCCAAATGATATACTTTTCAGAATCAAAATGGTTTGATTTAAAGTATTATTTAGTAAAGGTTATAGTTATCCTACTAATCTTAAAACAAATATTTATTCTTGATTATTCCATTTTGCTACTAGTCTTCTAATTTGTTTTAAAAATGCATTAAAAACACGATCTTAGTCAAATGTACATACATCTTGCCAATATAACACTTGGCGTGCGGGAATACTTGCACTGAATTACATGTACAGGCAGTTTAGTAAATCGTGGGAATATTTCGTTTACTAATATATCGCAGTGAATCGAAAACTGGTATATTATTTACAACGAATGTTCTCAATACGTATTTTACGTTAACCGACATTTGCAGACTGTCATATTTTACGTTCCGCGCATTCCAAGTGTTAAAATAATTAGAAATATTAGGATGTTATCAATATTTCTTAGTAAAAATTATGTTTAATTAATTTATTCATTTCTCAGTTCTTTGTAAGTTGTCATTTTTTAAGATCTCTTTTATATTGTGTACAAATTAGTTTAAGTAATCCTTTAGGTTTGTCGTTTTCTTTTAATAAAGTACATAACTGCATAGAACTAAAGGCTTCAGACGTTAAAAGCATAAAATTGGAACTATTTAAGTATGCAAGACCTATTTATTAAAATATCTCCTTTCAAGAGAAAATCGATTATAGAAATATAATCTAAATACAATAACGATTGAGGCTAAAACATTGGGTTTAAAAAGTTTATAAATTCGGTTTAGTGTGGATATTTTGATGTGATGACGTAACAAACCGAACGGTTAAGCCTATCGTATCTCTCTGTCGTTTGTTGTGAGCTCTTGCTATCGCTCTCTCTTTTTCACACTTGGCTCTAAAAGAACGATGAAACGAGTTACGCTTCTCCGTACGTGCAACCGTTCACGTATTTGTAACGTTATCACGTCAAAAAAGTGGTCGACTGTTTCGACTGCCGCTACACTTGTATAGACAAATGTCTGTTTTCTATGAGAATGTTAACAATACCTGTCAATACAAGTGTCAAGTCTTCGGCAGTGGAAACTTACTATGTCAAATAGGTATAATTTATAAGAATTTTTTGATTGTGTTTGTTAATATTTTATTTGTTTTAACTAATTTGGTTAAATTCTAAGTACTAATATTGCTGACAAATTAATCGCGATTTATGTTAGCTTGCAAATAATGTAAGTTATCATTTGTTAGCGCCAATGTCATAATATTTAATAAAACATAGGTAAAAGTTAAGGATTTCTTAGTAATTGATAAAAGAAATAATTGTACCGGTTTTAGAAATTATTTTTATCTGAAATTTTCATAGCTTCAATATCTTTGCAAACAAATGTTTCCATGTGTATTTTGGTAGAATAAATCTGCTACTAGAAAGTAATGTCCAGAAACAATATTGCATATTATCACATATTAACATGCAATGTTTGAAATACATCACAAAAAGCTAGTCCCGTATATATAAATTTAATTTTAATAGACAATTATCTTGTGTGAGTTTGTCTTAATTGTTTTTCTTTACATTATTTTTAGGTGAGTTAAAAACAATTTTAGTTATTTAAGAGACAATATGATAGTACAGATCACAAAATGACTTTCAAGTTTTTTTTATTTATGTTACTTTGAAGTAAAGAGATGTTACATATAAAGTGATTTGTCTCTTAGTATAACATTGTTTTTCTTATTTCTGGCAAAAATTAAATAAAAGGGGTTTTCTCTTCATTTTCTATCCAAGTTATTTATTTGTATTTATTTTAGCTGTAATTTAGAAGCATTTTTTTTAAGCTTTGGACATTATAATTATTAAAACCTTTTCTTCACATGTATTTGGTACAATATTAAATAAGAACGCTTTTGTAGATAGTATATCGTGGTTTTTTCTTTATAATGTTAATCTAAAATGTTACCCGAAAAAACATTACTTTAAATTATAACATTTTTGCTGCATTTATTAATGACTAATACTTACCATGTTATAATACTTTTGAAAACTTTTAAAATACTGTAAACCTATTATGTAAAATTTGAGATATCAGGAAATATTTTAGAAAACTTTTATGTCTATATTTTTTGTTATTAGTTAATTCCTAGATTATGTGAATCTCAAAAATATCCTCTGATCCTTTAATTTATCATTAGAAATAAAACTATGTACAAGTTATTTCATTGTATTGTAATTTAAATAAAAATTAAAATATTAAAAATTAGTATACATTTCATTCGATATTTATTTCCACACTTGTGATGCATTATTAACGTTATTTAAAAAATAGGTTAGGATTTAAATTTGATTCATTGCAAAAAGAAAAGTAACAAAATATCACGAGACACATTATTTCTTCTTTATTCTGCTGGCGATCCATTCCAATCCGAGGTGCAATCTGCAAAATATATAAAAAAAACAAGAATCAAAAAATAAACCACATACTGAATATCCTTAACTAGTTGTCGTCTGCGACTTCATGCTAGTAGATTAAAAAAAATGAGTTATTTGCCCATGCAGTATTCCAGAATGTAAACTATTGTTTTTTATCTCTTGAAATCTGGCATAAATGTAAAGCATAGTTTAAAAGAACACCTAAGCTACTTGCTTTTGTTTTTTTTATTTCGCGCGGACGGAGTTGCAGGCGAAAGCTAGTACTTTACAATAATAAGTTTAAACATGGAGATCATTCCTTATCAGTGTGTGTCAACATATTTACTTTTGTATTATCAAGAAGTAAGTACTATAGCTATTATTATAACCTAATTAAATAAGATAAACAACTCCTTTAACATTGCCGGAAACATGTCTTTCTTTGATTTCCATGTATCATAATAACTATTGGAGAATATTGCATAAAATTAATTACTCCCACGCCTATAGACAAAACCAGAATTACTATGAATATATTTTTGTAGGACCCGAAATTGGAACGTTCTGGAAAATCCACTGATAAATTAGTTATTAAAGATCTGGCATGTTCTAGGTTCAAGTCTAAAACTACAGTATATGATATTTTCAACTTACCCTTCCCCCGTGAGCGCACAGCAAGCCTGTATATGCCATGGATGCTGTTTGATGGAGGTCAAAGCTAATTGTTCAGATATTTCAGCCGCAGTCATCGAGCCTTTCACATCCTGGAATATATTATATAAATAGTAATGTACATAAAATTGTTTCTTAATACATGGTAATTGCAGATTATTTAGGGCATTATAATGATTTCTATTCAAATTGTCTTATATTTCTAATACAGTTGTAGATCTACGCATTTATTTTTATACTTTGTATACTAACAGTATAATACTTTATGAATATTTCAATAACCAGCTTCTAGATATGCAGCTTAGTATTCTAAAAGATACTTATTTTTAAACAATCTATGGTATTTTACGAGCCTTCACACGAGATAATAATACTAATTTTATAAATGCAAAGTTACGATGGATGGATGTTTGCTAGTTTGTAGCCTAAACGGCTGAACAGATTTCGATTAAATTTGGTATAGATGTAGAAGATAGTCTGGAAGCACATGTAGGCTACTCACCATACACACCCACGGATGGATTCACGAACGAAAACTTGTTCATCATAAATTCAATCGTGCAATTTTCGCAGAAATTTCTGCCCCGCACAGCCGCGTTGTGGAACGGTCTGTCCTCGGCGGTATTTCCAAACCAATACGACTTAGAGTCCTTTAAGAAGCGAGCCTACAATTTCCTCAAAGGCCCGCAACGCATCTGTAGTTCCTCTGGTGTTAGCCATCTCCATGTTTCCGCTGATTGTTTGCCCCCTTCTCTTATAAAAAGAAAATTATTATAACTGTACCTGTTTATTTGCGAAAACTAACAAGCAGGCTTTGCTGAGCTCTTCATGGGTTAGCATTCGATGAAGCTCCTCTCTACTTATGTTCAAACGTTGACGGTCTGTTGAATCTATCACCATTATCACAAACTGTAAAAAAGACACAAAAACATGATAGATAAAAATAACAACATATCTACTTAAAGTTAGCAAAATAAAGAACACATTCTGGCTTAGGTAATAAGATTACATTGTTATGTGGCACAAAAGATGGTCGCAGATTAAATGAATGTGGTGTTTGTACAGAAATTACATTAACAGTGAACAAAGATGTGCACAAAAAATTTACCACACCTAAATCTATATCAGTATTATACAATTATAAGATACAATGTGCTGCCAAAACTGCCAAAAGCATTTACGCAACAATTACAAAGCAACATTATTAGTATTAAACAAAGAAAATGCTGTTCACATTTTAAAGTGTTCTTATTAAATCCATTAATGAATTTATTCTCTTTATCATGTGAACACATAAATAAGTTTTGTTACTGAACATGTAGGAAATAGCAAAAAAGAGCAACAAACATAGCACAGCTGTAAAATTGAACATTCAGTTCAACCGGCAATCTCAATATTGTTCAAAAAAAATGTAAATTTTTCTCCAGGCAACCACAATCTTTACATTTGTCTCAGTCAGATCAGCATATTGCAAAATTATTTAAATTGTGATAAACTGTATAATGAGGTTTCAATCGCTGTGCTGCAGTATATAGCTCATGTATTTGCAAATTGCTAAAAATCTTCCCAAGAGATGTCAAGTATATTCCACAACAGATTGGCTATTCCTTGGAATATGTCAAATATACATTTACATAGATTAAAATATGAATTACATTCTAAACTGCATGGCAACAATCGGCTACATAACAATTACAACATAATACAATTGGGCTTTAAACATAGCTAACATGATAATGTAACTAATTCTTACATCACATAAAAAATTGCCACATGTGATAATACATTATGCAGTATACTAAAAAATAATTTGGTAAGAGTCAATTAAAAATTCTTACCTCACTATTTGTGTAATAGGTGTTCCAAGCAGATCGGAGACTCTGCTGGCCTCCGAGATCCCACATGACAAAGCGTAAATTGCGCCACACAACCTCTTCCACATTGGAGCCAATGGTTGGCCGAGTATGAACAGCTTCACCAAGTAACAACTGGTACAATATAGTTGTTT